GGGGGGGGGGGGGATAGGGGAGTGTAAAGTGTAGAAAGAGGGGCATGAATTTGTAGATTATGCATAAATTAAGTATGCCAAATGGATGACATTATGATTCCTTTTCGTTGGTGGTGTTAAATCAATGAACCCAAAAGCTGCTGCAGATGTCAAAAGACAATATGATTACACGTACTTTTATTAGGTATTGCCATTAGGTCTAAAGTACCATTAAAAAAGTCTAAGTAAGATCACTTATTTAAAACTTTGAGTACATTACTCAAATAGTCACCCAACTATCCCAAATTATCTGCTAAAGTCATTTTTCTTTTGTTTGTAACAACAAAGTTACTTAACTATGCCTATAGAACTCAGAAGGTCACTCAACTAGATTTTTCAAATTCTTGATTGTCAAATACTTATTTTACCCTATAAACTATCATTTTTTTTAACTTTTAAAAATTATAATTTTTTTTCCTTTTAGTCTACATTGTGGACTTTACCTATAAAATAAATATATTTTATTTATAAAATAAAAAATAAGAAATTAGTTTTCAGCTCATATAATGACGAAATAATGATATAATTTGAGCATAATTTTCAAGAATATATATAATTATTTTTAAATTACGTGCATGGAATATATATTTTACAACCTTTATTTTCTTTCATTCTCAATTGTGTAAATAAATTTTTGAACTTTTGTTATTACTACTAAAATTATAATTACGAACAAATTATCTTAATTAATTTTTTACGATGCTCATTATTTTGGTATTCCAGCATTATATATGCTTAAATACTTTTATTTTTTTAATTTATAAATAAAATTTATTTGTTCTATAGGTAAGTCCATAATATAAGTTAAAAGGAAAAAAATTATAGTATTAAAAGTTAAAAAAATAAATAAAAAGAAGATAAATATTTATAGTTTAGAAGGTAAAATAGGTATTTGGCAATCCAAAATTTGAAAAATCTAGTTAAGTGACCTTCCGAGTGCTATAGGCATAGTTAAGTGACTTTGTTGTTACAAACGAAAGAAAAGTGACTTTAGCAGATAATTTGGGATAGTTGAGTGACCATTTGAGTAATAGACTCCAAAACTTTAAACAAATCATAAAGAGAATAAAAATGTTTTAAAAAATGGCAAATCTTTTCTTAGTGTCATAGGCTCATAGCTATTTAAAACAAGGAAGAATTGAAACCCTTTCTTCCACCAAAAAACAAAAGAAGGAAGAAGAAGTTAGACATAAGTACTTTCTTTTCTATTTTTGCTTTTTGAAACCGTACTTAAGCACTAACAATGAGATTAATTGTAGACTTCGTAATTAGGGAGGTTCTAACTTCTAACAACAAGAAAGCTTCCATAGTGCAATTATAATTTCTTTGTTTGTTGGTTGGTTTGTTTGGAGACCAGAAGTGAAATTGCCTAAGATGAAAAGGAATTTCCCCTTTTATTATATCATGACTAATTGCAGAAGAAGAAATTAAAAGAGAAATTATATATGTTTGCAAATCATAGGCCATAAAAAAGTAAAGGAAATGATATGCTTCTTGTCCTTTTTTCTTCTTCTTCTTCCTT